ATAAAGGGGGTATTGGTATATAGTGCTGATTATGAAAACTAAATAGTAGCATGTTATTAAACTATAAAAAATATTTATCTATTTTTGCATTGTGAAAATATGTAATGTGATTCCAATTTAATATTTTAAATAAATTCTTGTAATTATATACAAATGTAATGCAATTATATTCAAATTGTAAATAGATTTATATAATTTCATGCATATAATGTATTTAGAAAGAAACTTAAATTTTATCAGCATTTAAATTTGTAATTATAATAGACAATTATGTCTTCCTTGATGTATTAGATAGAACTACAGTAGATGTTTTACATAGAAATACAGTCCATTAATAAAAACTTCTTAAGGTTGTCTTCTAATTATATACATAGAAATATAGAATCTTAATACTGTGACAAATGTGCGTCTGTTAATAAAATTATTAAGGATAATAATGCATTATTTACTTGTTATGCTGAAAAATAAATTTAGAATATATTACTTCAGTATATTGTACACGTGTGCCTCAAAGAAGTTTTATAATTAATAAACTTTTAAACTGATCTAATGATGAAATATTGTATTTGGGCGATCAAATTTATGTGAGCATGTGAAATCTGGGCATATCGTGTCAGTTCCATTATTCATTTTATAAAGTATCACAACAAACAAGTGTAAGTGTAATTATTTCATTCATTCATTGAATATCAAATACATTAATAATTTACTAAAATTATGCAATGTCATATGGTTATAATCATTTAATATAATGGGAATGTATAATTATGAAAGAATGAATCATTTTTAAATATAAGATATAATGTACACTAATAAATCAAATATTTGAAAATAATAACAATAATACAATATGTTTTTAAACTTTATTTTTTAACTATTTTTCTATATATTTATGTACATAAATAATTGTATTATGTATAAATTTTTTATATTTTTTAATTTATTTTCCTTCGATTTTTCTAATGACTTATAAGCATTTATTAATTTTATAAATTCTATAATTAATTCTTCATTATTTATACTATATTATTTATACCACACTAACTATAATATTACTCATTTTAAAAAATTTGTATGCAACTATTTATAATACAAACATATTAAAAAGTATCTTTGATTTATGTAATTCATTTAAAATATTATTACAATTTTATGGTGCAGATTTTATTAAAATAAATATTAAAAATTGATTAATTTTATAGAATGCATAAAAATATACCAATGCACTCTTTTTTCCTCATGTTTTTCATTTGTATATATATATTTATAAATTGATTTATAAATTGAACATAAATATATATTTTTATAAATTGATTTCATTGTTAAATATGTAATTAACATGTTATAATTTTCATGATTAAGAAAAAAATTTTATAAAAATTTTGTTGTGTTAGTTAAAGATAAAAACATATTTTTAATTACAATTTATTTATGTGGTACAAATATTCATCAGGAATATATTTAGTTGATTTATAAATGTGTATTAATGAATCAATCAGAGAGTAGTTTGCACTATTTTCATATATTTCAACTTATTGAAATGATATATTTATACTTTCAGACAAAACGTTTTTATAATCAAAACAAATACGAATGAATTAACTTCACCTCAAGGTATATTAAAAACTACAACAGTGAATGATAATTCTATAGGTGGGAACATTGTAAACATTGTGGGTAATAAAGGTAAATTTAATAAAATTATATAATATTTTTGTAATGAGTTACATTCGAAAATTTATTGTATCAAATAAAAATATTGTTTTTTTATTTAGGTTCTGAAACATTTTTGAGCTGTAATAATGATGGACAACAAATACAATGGATAAAAATGCAAGAAAATAGTATCAGTGTAAATGCAGTTTCAAAACAGAGTACACTGATATCAGATAAAATCCAAACTGCCAATTTAAATGAAAATCAAAATAATACTTCCTCACAAGTAAGTGTAAATAGCCAGAATAGTTTTGTTATTAACATATAAAATAGAATAACAGTTATATATTTTTAGAATCTTTTACATGGATCTTGTGAATTATCATCAAATACTGAACTTGTAAAAAGAAAACCACTTAGATCATACCCAAACAGAAATCGATTATCTACAAATAGTGTACAAATAGGAACATCATCTATCGATAGGGTGAATGTAACAAATAATATTGGAACTCAAATATCAAACGCTAATGCGTCTATTAGACCACCTACGGCATTTTGTAATAAAACAATTAGTCCCATTGGGCAGAATGTGACACAAATTTCTACACAAATACATTCTCCATTGAACACAGTTTACACTAAACCACAAGCTCCTACCTTGTCAAAAAATCCATTAAAAGTGCAACAACCTAAAATGGAACAAATAAGATTAAAACAAATGCAAAATCAAAGACAAGTGCAAAATGATCAAAGATTGCAAGGAAATAATATGCAAAGATTATCAAATGTTGCTTCACAATCAGTGCAAAATTCATTAAATAATCCACGGCAACAAACAACTGTAAATTCAACACAGCAGAAACAAATGTCTTCATCATCACAGTTACAATTTCAAAAACAGACTAATTTACAAAAATCTCAATATGAATCGCCACTATCACCTCCGTCTCAAACTGTACGTAATACTATGGATGTCGAATCTCTGGAATCATCACTCAATGAAAAAGCTCCAACAAATCAACAAAGTTTTTCTTTACAAGCTGATTCAGAAAATGGTTCAACTGAAAGTATTGCTTATCTTGAAAAAGTTATTCATAATCCAACAAATACTAAAGTTCAACATCAAATACAAGGAAATACTGCAAAAATGTTAGTTATGCTTTCTAATGGCGAACAAAGATTAATTACATTTGACATACCTAATGAAGATTGTACAGTTCAAGATTTACTGGAACAGGTATTTAAATAGTTTTAATTATAGAATATTTCATGCAAATTATTAATAAAATAATTAAAAACCATTTATATGTTTAGGCAAATATTGTATTTTGTGGAAAAACAAGTGTCTCTTTAGTTTCTGATCCTACTTTGGGTATAAATTATATTGTAGAAGCTGGACCTGGTGCATCATATGATATGAGTGAAAATGATAGTTCTCAAGATAGTGCAAATACCAATTTAGACAATTCTCATAGGTGAAATTTTTATAATTCTAATTCAAATGTACATATAAGCTTAAAATATTTTCAAATATTATATTGAATATTTCAGTTCACCAGATGAGAATAGTAATCCTGTACAACAAAATGAGGTAAGTTGTAATCTTTTTACTTTTATACTAGTTTATGTATCTATCTTTGATAATAAATAAAAAATTTGATTTTTCATATTTGTATTTTGTATTTTTATATCTTGATTCATAATTTTTTTTTATATCTTGATTTATAATTTTTTTTTATATCTTGATTTATAATTTTTTTTTTTTAAATTTAATAAAATCAATTGAGTATTTTTGAAATGTACTTTAAAACTTTAGAGGTTTAAAATTAAATAAAAATATAAACAGGAAAAAGAATTTGTTATTCAATGAAATCAATATGTTTTAAACAATATATATAATACATATGTATTTATATTTCAAATTATTTTTTGTAATATTTAAATTTTTATTATTTTATTAAATTATATACATTATAAAATATACATATAAAAGTTAAATAGAATTATCTTGAAATTATTTGATGGAAATAATTTTTAATTAAATTTTATTAATTATTTCATTTACATTAATGAAAACAATTAAGAAACAATGAAGAAAACTAGAATATTAAATCATAAATACAATGCACATATTAAATATTTAATTTTTTTTACAAATTGTAATTTCACGTTCACGATATTGCAATATATTTATTTACAATATAGCAACATTTATTTACATATATACAGAATTATATTTATTTTATATGTAATAAAAATATTTAATAAACGTATATTTTATGTCCTGTATTTATTATTTGTTATATATTTTTACAGGAACCTATATACATTGAGGGAATGTTAGCTGTTTGTTCCCATTGTGGTATCAGTTCTATTGACTTTAATCGGTGTCTACGATGTAAAAGAAAATTACCCAAAGATGTAAAATCTATACCAATGACCATGGGTATGCAAGAAAAGAAAGAAACAATGCTTTCTGTTGATGTAAGAATTATAAATTTATAGAAAATCAATATTCTACTACAGATATAGAACAGCGAATATATTTTGAAGTTCTTATAATAAAATGTGTTCAAAATTAATATAAATATTTTGATACAAATATAATTCATAATATAAATTAATATTTATAATATAAATTAAGAATTTATATTTTAATTTATTATTTTAATGTTTTCAGACTTTTTATAAGAAAAATAATGAACGTAATTCATCCTCAAAATTAGAAAAATTAGAGCGAGATGGATCCGTGTATAAACGTGGAAGAGGAAGAGGAAGAGGTGTTTCAAGACCGAGGCCTATTCACAAAGAGCCAGGTAGAAAAAATAATTTATATGATTTTATTTAAAAATATAATATTATCCAGCAAAAGTTTATATAATAAATATATAAAATAGAAAATTTAAAACATGCTTGAATATCTATATTTAAATATAACAGAAAGTAACTCAATTTTTCAAAAGGAAATATGATAATAGAAAGATTATTTTGCCCAAGGTTATCAATATTTTCTTAAATGAAATCATTTTGATTAATGTTCGATAAACAATTTAATCCTTAACAAAAATTTTTATTTCTTCCAATAATCTTTGATAGGTCCTCAAACAATTAGTTGTTGATTTTGCAACATCCATTTCTTTTGTCAAATTCAATATTTTCATGTTTCCATGTTTCCATGTGTCCATGTGTTTAGTATTTCCATGAATTCCATATTTCTGTACAATCAGAATGTTTCCTGTGATTTGACGTGTGAGTTTCTTACATAACGTGTAAACTTGTGCCTTCTTGTAACCAAACCATGCAATGATTTCTGAAAGCGATTCAACTATTGTTGCTTTCCGATCCAATTATTAGTTCATGGTTGAACAAATCTCAATTGCCGACTGATACTTCATCGTTGGATGACCTTTTATTGCTTTGTTTATGTTTATCCTACCTACGTCTTATCTGTAGGAAGCTTGAAAAAATTCTGGATTTACTTCGACAGCTTTGTCAAATACATACATATATATTGTATACTAATGTATACTGTATATACTGTGTATACATAATATACATACTGTGTATATGTATACAGTATATCCCATCCAACTATCAAAATACATGTCCCTTTATTTTTAATGATATGGGAAATATCTTATACAATGTATGAATAATTCTAGAAGGCGAATATTATACATAGAATAATTTTTCTTTTAAAATTATTTTTTACAAATTTTACAAATTTTTTTTATATCGATATTTTTTGCTAGATATTGTGTTCTTTTTTTTCATTACATCATGTATTATGTGTAAAATGCATTGAAATGTATAGATTTTCATTTTAAAATGCAACTCTTCTTGACTATTCGTTTTCTTTGAAAGATATTTTTATATTATCAGTGTTTTTACTTTGAATATTACGGTTAAAAATATGTCATAAAGATGTCATTGGAAATATTAAAGAATTATAGCAAAAAGTCGTAGTTCAAAATTCAATAAAATGGAGAAAAAGAATAGGAGAGCAAGTTTTAAGAGATGGATCTGTTTATGAAAAAATTTTTTCAGTGATTTAGAGATGTTTGAATTTTGAGAGAGAGAACAGAAGTATCCTTACCTGTTGCATTATGTAAAAACATCTTTGAAAGAGAACAAACTTAAGATTATCAAAATAAAGCTCTATGCTTTAAAATGATTGGATTGAAATTGGATTATTATACGATTTATTTTTCACGAAATTAAAATAGTTTAAAATATCGATAATTTTTCATCAGATACATGAATAATTTCGTGACTGACTATATCTTCTTTTATCAGATGTAAATATTCTTAATTTATTCATACAATAGTAATGCATGTCATTATATATCATTTATATATTATATATTATTTACAATATATATCATACATATTATTACTATAGATCATATAAATAAAATTAATATTTCATACATCAAAATTAAAAATATTAGTTTACATTTTAAATATTTTTTTTTACTTAAATAAATAATTTTTTATTGCTTGCTTAAGATGTAAACAATAATAATTTTGAAAAATATAAAACGAATCGCCTTTAAGAAAATATTATTTCCATTATTGTATTTCCTTATATCAAATTGAATAATTTTTATTAATGTAATTGTTTAAAATGTTTATATACAACGAAGATTTTAAAGCAAATTCTTTTAAATGTTTTACAACATAAGCAGACATCTCATACGTGATATTTCTTATTTAGAATGTTTGACAATATCATCTGATGAAGAGGATGAAGGCAAAATTAAAAAATCGGATGGCTCTAGTAATAATATATTTTCAAATGATAGTAATAGTTTTACTGAAGAAATGGAGACCATTCTTGAAAAAGAACCAGTAATCACGAACAATTCTATTTGTAATGCAAGTTCTGATTATGCCATGGAGAATGAAGATATTAAAGGTATCTTTACAATATGTTTCCATTTCATTAAATTTTTATTTCAATTTTTAAATTTTAAATATAATACAATACTACTTAACACTTTCGCTACCACATGTGTGACATACCATCATATATCTGTGATGAAGATTGCGAAGTTTTATTTTTTTCAATTGAAGGTGTGTACGATTGTATCTACATATAATGACAAATCATGCCTGATTTAGTGTTACAATATATATTTTTTATTTTAACTGTTTAATATTAACTCTGCTCGAGCAGTTTTATTATTAGAAACGTCTTTATCTTTTAATTTGTTTTATTTTTCATGATTTTATTTATAAAGTTTATTAAAATACATTGCAAAATCATAGTTATTAGTATAAAATATTCTTTTCTCGATTTCATAAACAAATAGATTTTTGCTCAGATATACGTTTTAAAAGTATTATTATAAATAAGAATAATATATATTTTTATCTTCATCGTCTTTTTATTAGATATTCCAAAAAAAATTTTTATCATTATCTTAGTATATCATATATGTATGACCCCGTAGTAAGAAATAGTTTATTCATGGCTTAACATCACATATGTATGACATAAAAATCGACTCGATCTATGAAAATTTGCTATTTAGGCTAATTACATATTAGATTTAATTTATATACATTATATATGACATGATTAATTATGTTATAAAGCGGAAGAAAACAAAAATATTTTTCAGATAATTCTCTTCAATCCCCACATACTTCTTTGTTGTGTCGAACAGTAAGGATAGGTTCTTATAAATATGTTCCTCGAGAAAGAGTAGTAATCTCGCAAAGTGGAATAAGATTTGGTGTACCCTTACTAGAAGATGGTAAGTTTCTTATTAATTATGTGTTCATAATTATATGTTATCTCGACACATATAATTATTATAGTTATATTTATCATATCAAAATATTTGTGCATATTTGTTATAGATAAAACTTTCGTAGCATTAGAAGTTAAAATTCAAGAAATAGTAAAAGTTCTAATTCATTTTGGTAAAGCTATGCCAGTGCTTTTCTTTTATACATCTACTAATACTGGAGCTATGATCCGTGAATTATTAGGAATGCAGGATCCAAAAGGGCCATATTATGATCCTGCTGGAAAAGGTATCAACTTTAAAATATATTATAATTTATATCAAATGAATTAAAAATGTTAATATTATTATAGATCACACTCATAAACGGATAACTTTACTGCCAGAAAAATTATCAGAAGAATCAAAAGTTGTGTTAAAATCTTTGTTTTCACGGAGACGTTTGTTAGAAGAATTAAACTCAAAAGAAGCAAATGATATTCTTATACGAGCATCGCCAAAAGATGTATGCGATATATGTTGTTAAGTAAGACTGCTATCAAATAATACAATAACAATACAATTTATCTTTTTTCAGAAGCTGAAACTACAAAGTTTATCTAGGAAAGAAAATCAATCTGGAACAACAACTAATTCAAACGTCAATGGCGGTATACAGACGTAGGAAGCAAATTTGATTATAAAATTAGATAAATAATTATATTTATATGTATTTTTTTTATATGAAATTGTAGCATATCGTATTGACACTTATTTTACTAATAATAGTCATAACTAATAACCATAATTAAATTTTCTAACTGAATTTTATATTTTTTATTGTATATTTTTATAATTAATATTGAAAGATTTTCAAATCACTACTTCTATTATTAATTTTAGATTTAATTCTTTGCACTCCTTTGATATCGGGTGTTATATCGCTCAACATTAGTTTTTATCACAGAAACTCTTATGTTGAGTCACACTCGATATTTTTAAATTGCAAAAAACAAAAAAAAAATTTAAAAATAGTTTGGAATGCAAAGAGTTAATAATGTTAACATGTTAATATAAATAAATATTAACATGGCTTGTTTTTCACAGTTTTTGTTTTAAACATTGTATTTTTTTTGATAATTTTTCTTTTGACAATTATTTTGCTATTTTATTATGATATTAAATTTTTTATTTGCAGAATAACTGTATATCCTCCACCACCTGCTAAAGGCGGTATAGCTATTAATACTGAAGATTATTTATGTCTTGGAGAAGATCAGTTTTTAAATGATGTGATCATAGATTTTTATTTAAAATATTTGACATTGGAAGTTTTACCAGAATCTGATCAACATAGAACTCATGTATTTAGTTCATATTTTTATAAGCGATTAACAAGTCCACATGCTCAAGCAGGTGAAAGTAATGTACCTCTTTCACCCGCTGCTAAGAGACATGCAAGAGTACAAAAGTGGACGAAAAACGTCAACATATTTGAAAAAGATTTTATTATAATTCCTATAAATGAACAGTAAGTACTTAGTTCCTTAATATTTTTTTTTATTTCTTAATAATAATATTAAATATAAATATAAATAAATAAAAATATTAAATATTTCATAATAAAAATATTTTTAAATAACATTTATTACATATAACAATATTGCAGTGCCCATTGGTTTTTGGCTATTATTTGTTTCCCTGGATTGGTAGGTAAAGTTTTTGCACAGCCTAAACGATCAGACGAAAATGATGTTCGTAAAACTGTACAAAAAAGCAAAAAATTAAAAGAAGTAAAGCTTCAAGCAGTTACAATTGGAAGTACAACCCTTAAGCCAATGACAACTACTGTAACTATAGATCAAGGTGATGATGGTTCAGAAAGAGATGAAGCTGAAGGTGATGACGAAGAAATGGAGATGGATAGCGAAGATGATGTAAGTGCGGTGCAAACTAATATGCTGTTTTAATTTAAATTATGATATATTATAAAAATATTATGCTATATATTATCAATCATTTTTAATTTAGGATGAATCGGAAACCACAGAAAATCTAAAAACAGAGCAAAATATACAAAATATACAGCAAGAAAAGGAGAACATAAAAGTGTATGTTTTTGCATATACTTTCGAAACAAATCATTATATCTCAAAGATATTGTATTTATTTATATTTTTATTTCACTTTTTTATAGACCCTGCATATTAATATTTGATTCTCTTGCGGGAGCAAGTAGAGCACGTGTAGTAGCTACATTAAGAGATTACTTAAGTTGTGAGTATGTTGCAAAAATGGGAAATGAAAAAGTATTTTCGAAAGATACTATTAAAGGAGCATCGTTGAAAGTTCCTCAGCAATCAAACTTTACTGATTGCGGATTATATGTATTACAATATGTAGAAAGCTTCTTTAAAGTAAGTTTATTTTTTGAGTTTATATTATTAGTAAATTGCTAAACAAAATAGCATTAAAAATTATACAATAATAAATTTCTATTCCAGAGTCCCATTAAAGATTACACGTTACCAATAAAGACATTGAAAAATTGGTTTGAAGAAATAGTAGTAACAAGGAAAAGGGAAGAATTATCTAAACTATTGATTAAATTAATGATCGCAGGAAAAGGAGACAGAAATATAACAATACCAACTGTAAATTTTCCTACTCAAGATGGAAAATTAAAAACTAAGGCTGAAAATAATATTGATGTAAAATCTGTGAAAACGGATGCTGAAGATAAGAAAAAACCTATATTAGATGGGGAAAATCGTATTAATAATAATATGCCAAATCAAACAGAAAATACAGAACCAGCTACTGAAGCAGTTAATAGAACTACATACCAGATCATTCCGTATTCTCCATGTACAAGTTCTAGTTCATCTGAAAGCAATTCAACAGAAATGTTGACTGAAACTAAAACTCCGAGGTAAATAAAAAAATGATAACTATTGCTAAGTAGAAAGCAAAGTTATGAAAATTCGTCAATATTTGAAAATTTATTGATATAAATCATATGATAGACTTACTTCACATAGATTTAATATTTAATTATTAGATTAATGATATTAGTATTATATTTCCTGTAGTATTATATTGTTAATGTTTAAAACATTGTTCCTTCTCTTTTTGCATGTATTTTGTATCATCATTTAATTGCACTTTTATATGATTATAAAAATTTATGTATGTGCATGTTAGGATTCCGTTTCTAAAAAGTGTAAATTAATGCAAATAACTGATTTCAATTTCAAAATGAATAAATTTCACTATGAAATAGTAATATTTTACTATGTGTGTGTATTATATATAATTTTCGTTTTTATCTAAAATAATCTCTTGAATAAATTGTTTTCCGGTTTCATTGCAGGATATTTTGTATATATAAAAGAATTATATATTTTCTTTTTTCATAATTATTTTTATTGTTTTCATTTTAGATCATCAAGTGAAACGATGTCCTACTTAAAGTCGAAACGGATTTCCAGGTTAATGATAAAGGCAGAGAATCAAGATGATGCTCAAGCGGCCAAAAAGCATAAAGGAGAGTCATTTGATTCTTGTAAATAATTGTTACTTTCTTTTTTATAATGGTAAAGTTAGTCAACATTCATAAACAAACATGAAATCATTTACCTATGTAATAAATGTAGTTAATACTTCATAAAATGAATAAAAACATCCAATCATAACTATATACATTGCAATTTTTATTTGTTTTTTATAACACTTATATTTGTGTTAATTACGAATAAATAATTATGTTGTAAAATTCTTTTTTTACTTGCACTTTGCAATCTTGAGTACTTAGACAATGTAATATATATAACTAGCTGATTAGTTGATCGTTTAATGCGTACTTCCTCTCGGGGTACCGTTTCATTTCGTTAGAATGCAGGCCAACTGTTACATTCAATATTTGTTAAACAGGTAAATGTTATGAAATTAACAATTTATCATCGATCAAATCAGGTCAAATTATTCTTCGAAAACTATAATACGAACAAAATTCGTAAGCATTAAATTTCTATTGTCTAGCGTAAATAAAAGATTTATAATTTTTATTTTCTTTGAAATACGAATCGAAATAGTGATACGAACACATTAAATAAATAAATTTCTTTTGGAAAGTAGTTATAAAATGATACCGATAATAGTGGCATATTATTGTATTATAAATTTACGAGAAATCATTGACTGCTTTATTTTTCGTCGTAAGCTTGAAAAATATTCGGTATCTAACGTGATGTGGATGTTGATCCAACCAGATAATTTTGGGGACTGCTATTTAAAGCCACGCAATATATTCACTCAAATATATTCAATTACACTCGGTAGTTTTAAATAACAGTTAAGTAAAATCTTGCTGTGCGTGGAAGAAAGGAAGCGATCAAGAAATAGATTTTATAAGTGTCGAGTGAATATTTATTTAGGAAGAGATGACAAAAAGCGAATGAAATCCAATGACAAATATGTAAGTTTATGTTCCATAAGAATCACTTGAGATCATAGTTTATAAAATGCTGTTTTGCACAATCTTTGCTATTGCATAATGTTCTGCTTTAAGCTTTCTATTACCTGTATTACATTATAATATGTAATGTAATTTTGTATATACATTAATATGTAATGTATACATGTTAACTATATTTTCATATATCCTTGCTAACTATTTTATTTTTCTAGATTAAAGTACATGTAACACAATATACGTATTCATAAGATTTCATTTAAAATATGGCGATAGATTGTTCTTAATTTTTTCAGAATGTAATTTTATTACGATTTCTTGTAATTCGATATATACATAATATAATAGTCGAGGAGAGAAAGTATAGTAGAAACGTGAAAATGAAAAGGACTGTACTTACTTTCTATGGTAGTATTTATGTTAATATACATATTGCATGTTTTATCAACAGTAATAATAAATATACATAAAGAAACAAACAAGTTAAATGCGATATTTCGTTACTCATGACAATTAAAAATTAATAAAAGTTAATTATTAAAATTGATTATTAACTCATGAGGATTATTAATTTCATATGTCATTACGTTATAAGCTGTCATTTTTTCACGCTTCGTCGTCCCTTATACATCGCAGACTATCATCTCTTTATACTTTGTCGTTATCTATACGTCGTATATTATTATTCTTTTGGACTAATACTAAAAATTTAAATCTGTACGACGATGAAGAAACGATAGTGTCTGTGATGTGCATCGACGAAGTGTGAAAAAATAACAGCATATGTGATATATAGAGGTTGTTCTAGTGATTCTAGAAGAGGAAGTTAGATAATTTTGTAGAATTTTACGGGAATATTCTTTGGCCCTGCAAAAAAAAGGAAATTTACGATTGAATCTTTATGGAGGGATTAATTAATTGATTACAATTAATTTGTTGCTTTGGTGTCCTTTTCATCAATAACAAATTGCACCCTATTTGGCAGTCTACTGATATTTTACTCCATTTCTCTTACAGAATCTTTAAAACGCTCTTTTGATTTAATATGGTGTTTACTCACTCTCCGAATTCTCAATGTATTTGCTCGATGGAATTTAAATTTTATAATTGCGAAGACATAGGTAATGTATGGGTTGTATTATGTAGCAGTCATTGACATACATTATACATATTTATTCACGATTTCATTACTCTTTCTTTTAGTTCCCATTTTATAATATCATTGAGTTTGTATATATTCGATTAACGCTATGGCTGCGACAATAATTGCTTTAGCAGTTTCTACACTGTATATTGTACTCACAAGTCTTATAGCTTATTGGTTGAGAAGATATACCAACTATTATATACGGGATCCATTTGTAAGGTCCCTATTTTTAGAAGGCATTGCTACCGCTGAACTTTGCGGAGCATGTTTCGAGTTGATAATAAGTAAGTTTACCGAATTTATCGTCGCTAATTTTTAATTGTTCAACAATTTAAGTAAATAATTATTCTACGCTCGATCGACCTTATAAACTTTTCAAATTGTAATTTGAATTGAAATCCCTTTCTTCTTCTTTCTTTCGTATGTAACATGTACAACTGTAACAAACTAACATTTTTTAATCGAGTATAATTACAATTCGATTTACATTGAATTAATATTTTCGATATAAATTCTTGGATAAATTCTACACTGTTTTACTCATAACGTATCTTAGTTGCGGAAAACTGGGGTGTTTCTATGTATGGCGTGTATTTATTCGTGCTGACAATTTGGTGGTCTATGAATTGGGAAGACGCTAGTGCTTGTCCCTATACACACATCGAAGACGTTGTCAATGGAACAAAGTCAGTGCGCGATGCTTTCCTTTTAATATGGGCTGAACTTGTCGGTGGTCTTGCCGTTTTTAGATATATTCAATTACTTTGGGCAATCGAAATTGTTTCGACGCATAAAAACAAAGCATTCGAAGATTGTACTACTGACCTACAAGTAAGTGACAATGATAAATTACGAACTTCCCTAAATTGTTTTTAACAGGCTTGTTTCTTTCGTTCGAAAATATAACAAAAATAATTTTCTCTTGTCAATGCTCTAATCAAGAACATGAGATTAAAAATAGTACATTTTTGCAAATTTTTTAAAGTAACGTGGTATCCTGTTAACGATGAGATTGAAAGATCGTAATTTTCACATTAAATTATAACTAAGATTATACGAACCTTTTTTTTTTTATCTTTAAGGTGCCTGTAATATTTGGAGCATTTACCGAATGTGTGGCAACCTGTATATACAGGGTAGTCTCACGTGGTTTAAGTGAGATTAACTCGAAGATTAGTGTTGTTCTTGATTCGTTTGTTGGAACGACTTTAGTTATTGCAGGTTTGATTAATTTATGTTATGATTCAAAATTCTGTTTATTAATTTATCTTTATTTATTAACTTATGCTTATTAATTTTTTAATTATAGAGTATCTAAATTGTATAAAGAAATAGTAAATTTTATTTATTCATGTCTATTTTTGTAGTTCATAAATATTTAGTTATATTATATTTAATATGTTTCTAACAGATCAAAGTAATCAATATTTTAACAAATCAATTTATTTTATATTTATACTAATAAGGAGTCCAATCAATCCAAATTTTTACAACATATTTTCCTTTGTTTACTTCTTTTTGAACTATTTTGTTTAAATATACAAATTATAAATATAAATTTTTCAAATTCGACTTTTAAATTTAATTTTTTTTATATTGAAATACGTACCATCATTAAACTTTTCGATTGAAAATTATCTGAAAATTATAGTAAAAGAAGAAAGAAAAAGAAAGAATATAAAAGGAGATTGATCGTAATATTCTTTTATCGAGCAACATAAACTTTTAAAGTACTTCGAATTATTACTTATTATTCAATTCTTTATTATATTATTATTATTTTATTATCATTTTAGAGCTGAGAAATAAATTCAACAATTCTTTTGTTTCTTCTCCCGAAAGAAAATTTGAAATAAATACTATATTAAATTAGTATTAATTAAAAACTCTTAAAATAATACTTCGCAAAAATGATTAAAAATTCCTTATAATATTTAAATAAAGTTATTTTATATTTTCTTTTTACATTTTATTATATCTTCTCAAATATTCTTTTATTCTCATCTTCTTTTCTCTTTTATTTCGTGAAAAATTTGTTCTCGATTATCTCGCCACAGCCCTTTCACTTTAATAAATCTAACACGAGAGACATTCAACTTCCCTCAAATTTAAGAACTAAAAATTTTTGTACATAGATGTAGATGCTCTGTATTATACCATCGTATTACAATCATTAAATTGGATCTCTTTTCTTTCAACATGAATACTTGTTAAATATACATATATTTCATCTATTTTCATTTCAGCTTTTGATTATTCTGGCGGCTACTTTAATCCAGCATTGGCAACCTCTTTGAAATACGGATGTTTAGGTACTTCTTTTATGGAACACGTGATAGTTTATTGGGTGGGTGCGTGTGCGGGTTCCATTGCCTCTTTACGAGTTTATAGGTTGCCGTTTGTTCAACGTTACGTGGAACAGTACAAGGAGAAAACATCTTAAGTTCATTGACAATGAAACATTGGATCGTTGATCAAGTTTATTGGTTTTGTGTTTGCTCCACTTTCCCGTTGTTTGTTTAACTTACTTACTCTCTGTGTTTCCTGTCTGATGAACGTTGCTGATGAACAAAGTAACGTGTAAGTTTCTCTCGATCGAATCTCTCA